TGCTCTAGAAGCGTTGATTGGCCAGAGAAACCTTAGTAAGCAGTTGTGGGAGCTGTGGACCACAGGCTATAGTGACAAGTATGATGACGTATGTAGGCCGCGGGGGCCGGAGCCAAGAGTTGCACGAGCTGTGAACCACGTAAGTCGTAGGGGCGAGTATGAATGACGTTCGTAGGCTGCGGGGGGCGGAGTCAGGAGCTGTATGAGCTGATGACCATGTAGGTCGTTAGAGCGAGTATGAATGACGTCCGTAGTCCGCGAGGGCGGAGTTAGAAACTGCAAAAGTTGTGAACGCCGTAGGCCGTAGGGGCGAGTATGAATGACGTCCATAGGTTGCGGGGGTCGGAGTCGGGAGTTGCATAGGCTGATGACCACGTAGGTCATTAGAGCGAGTATGAATAACGTCCGTAGGCAGCGGGGGCCAAAGTCAGGAGCTGAATGAATTGATGACCAGGTAGGTCGTTGTTGGCACTTGAAATGTAGTGACAAACTTTTGTCCCACAACCAAAAAATTGTTACTAGATTTTCCAAGTTATAACATTGACTGATGGTGTTTGGTTGGTAGTGGTCGACGGCAGTCGACAGTGATTAACGACAGTCGGTGGTGGTCGACGGAGGTCGACGGCGGTCGATGGTTTTCAACGGTGGTCTGCGATGGATGAAGACTGTCAATGATGGTCGGCGACGGTTGGCAGCGGTTTGCAGTGATGATGAGCTACAGCTCCTCCTCAAGGCCTCAGAATCTATCTCTAGGCTTCAACTCCCCCCTCATGAGAGAGTTGGAGCTATATTTATAGTGATCTGGGTGCAATTAATGCAGTAATATGAATCATTTGATTGAGCGGTCCAGAGATCTTCTCCCAATCATATGGTGTTTAATGGACATTTGGATGCTTTAATGATATCAGAATTGAGTGATCTTAGACTCGTTAGATTTGTCTTGTTGAGACTCGATTCAACTACAAGTTTGTCAACTTTCACATCTATTTGACCTTTCAAATGTGTCCGAAAATTTTTCAAGAATGGTTTAATGACTTGATTTTGGATTGATTTGACTCAGATTAGACTAACATTGATATCATTAAGTCTGTCTCATCGAGCTGGTCAGTTTGACTATAAGTTTGCTGAAATCGGAGCTCTGGATGAGTTATTATCAATTTTTGAATGTTTCTTGCTCAAAATATCGTCTTGAGATTCGTATTATGTTTCAAGATTCGTGGCAAATGATTTAAATTTATTGGTGGCTTATCAGTGATCTATTTTTGTACTCTTTTAATCCCCACATTAATTTTTTTTTCATCTAATATTTGCCCTCAGTCCGTTACACAAATTTTTTGCGTATTTTAAAAGCCTAAATTTGCGGAAAGTTGTTCATACAGTACTGAAGCTGGTAGCTGAATTCTGTTTCTGCAGCAAATTACAGATATCTCTAGTTACGAGTTTAACTAAAGCGTATATTTTGTTTGGTAAGGGTGATCCATATTTTCCCGCGGATAATCCTAATCGCCTAACGTAGCAAAATAGAAGGCCATGCATGCATATGCATGCTGGAATTAAGAGGCCAGGAGATCTAACAGCTCAGCTGGCCTCCAGTTGTACTCAATTAAAGATTAAAACTAATTAACAGTCTTCATTAGTAGTTAGTTATTATTCTCAAACAGCAGCCACTCGTAGGCCGTAGGGTTCCCCCTTCACCTACTATTTAAGCCACAACACATGCATTCATTTATCTAGTTAAGAGTTCACTTGAGCAATTGCGTGCGTGCACACAGATACAAATATGTATAGGAATATGGGCAACAGTAGCACTATTCTGCATATCTTTATGTTGATGGGTGTGGGGCTGCTGTTGTTGGCCACATTGTTGCCGATGGAGAGCGAAGCGACTCGCGATGGGATCATCAACAACGACCCATTAAAGCGCGATCTTCCGCCGTGCTCAAAGATAGGGAATTCTGGTGATAAAAATTGCAGGGCTTGCTCGTGTTCGGCTCGTTTAAACCCCTACCCTTCACACATGAATAAATTTAGTTCTTGTGCACAATGAATCTAATTTTGGTTAGGAGGGTCAATAATGAATTTTTTAAGATATGCAAAAATTAGGGATTCTTATGAATTCGAGTGTTAGGGTTTTGTAGCTCTTGCAAATAGACCACTTAGGATCTGTACGCTATGGTTGAATGGTGGGAGGGACAAGCTATTTTAACTTTTGAAAAAGCAAAATACACATATTCATGCATGAGATGCGATGTTTATGAATATTACAATTTAGACGTTAGATACGTGAAGGCATATGAATTGAGTGGTATGCATATAAATATATATTTTTAAAAATTTTAGATATATAAATACATATAAAAATATATATATATTACAAAAAATTATGTTTTTAGCGGCATTTTAGAAGCCTATCACAGGAAAAAATTATTACATACGGACATCACATGCAAAGATGTATGCGGTGTCCGATCTACACCGTCGATTACCGATCTCTACCGTCTGATAAAAATCTGATAAAACAAATATTTTTTTAAATGTGGGCCCACCAAAATACATCTTTACTATAATCGAGAGTGCAGGTCATACAACATATGCAGAGATATATGCAATGTGCGTATGAAATAATTTTTCAGTGAAAAAAAATATTTTTTTAAAAGTGGGCCCACTAAAATACATCTTTACTGTAATCGAGGGTGTTGGTCATACAACATATGCAGAAATATATGCAATGTGCGTATGAAATAATTTTTCAGTGGTTTAAACCGTTATAAAAGGTTTTGCAGTGGTTCATAAGTGCTCGCCACAAGAATATTTTGCAGCGGTTTGGAAACTGCGGCGGGCCAAACCTAATGACAGCGGTTAAAACTACCGTCAATTATACCATGCGGCGACGGTTTAAACCGCCACAAGATTTGCTCCGACCCAGTTAACGCCTTCTTTTAGTGGCGGTTTAAATCACCACTATTTTTTTTTTTAATTTTTAAATAGCTGTTTTGCGTACTGCAATCTTTCTTCCCAAAAGGTTGTTAAATAGAATAATGAAAAATGAAGCCTTACAAAATGATATAGTTTACTTTATAACCCAAAAAAAATGAATTTTATGAATTTGTGCATTCCTCTCCCTTGCTACCATTCCATTAAAACCCTTAATTTCATGACAACAAGCTTTACATATTTACATCTCTGACACCATATGAATTCTGAAAGTTCCTTATTCTAACTAAATTTGGAGGCAAGTTAATGCTGCCCAATATCTTCATAGCTCAATCAACAACATAAATAGGTGTAGTTCTGTCTAATGAAATAATTAGTTAATAGAAAATTCAATTCAAGGCAACAATCTGGCAATCTAATGTTTCTCCGACAAGCTAAAGCTCCTACTGTTACAAATCAATAACTGAAGCAGAGAGGAAGCAGACAATAAGGATTTTCGTCCTTGCTCCATGGGCATGCCTCCTTTAAACCGAGAGGAGGAGGAAAATAAACCCTGTATTTGCGGCATAAAATATTCTCAAGGTATCCCATGGCTGTTCAAACTGCTGTCAAAGATGACTCTTAACACTGGTTACAAAACCGCTACAAAATAACGTGGCTAAAAGTAAATTTTTTTCTTTTTTTTGTAGTGATTATAGCATAAAATATTCTCAAGCTTTACATATCTAATTGATAGATCATTAAATAAGAGAAAAACTCACATACGCACCAAACAATTACTATGCATTTACATATCTAGCACCTCAAATTTGTTATTTATAGTTTTAACACTTTGATGTCATATACTTATGTATTAAAGGTTATTTATTATTGTGATATTTTTAATGTAATGTTACATATTTGAATAGTATCACATGAATACATGATGTACCACTTCTGCTTTTAAATAGTAACTATTTGAATGGTAAGCTTATATTTTTTTAGGGGGCATTTACATCCTGACCATCCAATTCATATAAATTTACATATATAACACCTACATTTTTTTATTTATAAATTATAATGATACCATCTAAATCTTCCATATAACATTAACAATACATCAATTTTGACTTTCAAAATGTGAAATATATCGTAAAGTTTTGAAGTTTGGTGTTAAAATATGTGAATACATTGGAATTGAGTGGCAAGTGTGTAAATCTTCCTAAATTTCTATGGAGATTGAACTCTTATCTTTATGGGGCCGAATCTTGCCAAACAGTCATTTTATGCAAAATAAATATTCCAGTTCCGTAAATTCTGATTCCCCAATTTTCGGCTGTAAATCCCATAAATATTCCGTTCAACTGCGTTTCTTCCTTCTCAGTCAGTGAGAAATGGGACAGGTGTTGGCCAGCATTCAAGATAGGTTCCACGGTACTCCCTCTCTTTCCGAATTGAAAGAAGCATCAGCCTCTTCCTTCAGGGCTAAAAGATTGAAGCTTTTTCATAACCTTTTGCAGGGAAGGAGTGGAAGGAGAGGCAGATCAGGAAGATCAGTGACAAGGTGTTTGACCGAATCAAGGACGATTTGGGACAGAGAAGCCTCGCCTTTGAGGATCTCTACATCGCTGTTCTCATCGTATACAAGTATGAAATCCTTTTCCTCCTTTCCCCTCTATGAATCCAATCCATGGATTGACTTTTGAGTCTAGGGTTTTTATCCTTTTTTTTTTTTGTTTGGCGGCTGCTTAATGTTTCAACTAACATAACAGTGACATCAATAAGTACTTACCTGGGCCTCATAATGATCCCCCGTCCAAGGAGAAGCTGAAATTAATGATGCAGGTATGGAATCCCCGCAAAAAAAAATCTGAAAATCTTTGTCTTTCTTTTCTATTTTTAGAAATTGTGTGGTATGAAATAAAAGAAAATCCTGATGGCTAAAAGAAACATTTTTCCGAAGAGTTTGGAGGCGGTCATAGTGATGGTGGAAATGAAACCACTTTGTGTATAGCTCTATAATTAGCAAACATGTCTGCAGATTAATGTTTTTGTTGTTTTGGTTGGAGCAGAAGTATGACTGGAATCTAGATGGGGAGCTGGACCGGGAGGAGTTTGCAGAGTTCATTCAGTCCCTGACAGCCGACACCGTCACCGCTGTCGGCCGGAATCTTATAATCGCGCTGGTGATCGCTCCGGCGCTGGCTTTGGCGGCGAAGAGAGCAACGGAGGGTGTTCCGGGAGTGGGTAAGGCGATGAAGAAGGTGCCTAACTCTATTTACGCCTCCATTGTCACTCTTGCTGTTATTCTGTTTCAGAAGGATGGTGAAGATTCTGAGGCTTATGACTGATGATGAAGAGAGAACAGCTTAATTGGCTTTTATGTTTTGCCAATTCAGTGTATCATAATAAGAATACATTTGTGATGTCAAAAAAGAAAAAAAAAAAAAAACTGTTTTTTTAGCTGTTGTCTGTTTTTGTAATTGATTTGTGGAATTTTAAAAATTGGTATCATTTGTCATTAATTCTGACATAGATGTTAATTTTTTATCTTAGAACTTCAAATGATTTTTGGTGAGCTGGGATTTTCTTAAAACATGAATGTTTGAGATTTGGGATGGTGCATCTTTTATAAATTGTGGATGATTTGAATGTTTGAGATTTGGGATGGTGCATCTTTTATAAATTGTGGATGATTACATACAGACCATCAAAATATTGATATTTACAATTTAATCGCCCATCTGATTATTCTGAATTACAAACCCCCCCACCATGAACTCATTGGCAATTTAATTTAATTTTAAGATAATTGCGCTTAAAAGATAAAATTTTAAATATAATTGCATATATAAAAAATTATTTTTAATAGTAAAATGATATTTAAAATTTAAAATAAAATTCAGGTATTATTTATTTTAATATAAAGTAATATTAATTATTATACCAGTTGCTGGAGAAAGACAAGAAAAGTTAGGACATGTTCATCTATGATTCTCTCCATTTATACATATAACAATTAAAAGCAGGCTCGGTCCATCCTCTGGCTCCCCAAACACAATCAAGTGTAGCAGGGATTCATTCGATCGATATCCCTTTGGAATCCTGTAGGATCTTCCCTGCCTGCTTGTCTTAGCCGAAGAGGAAGAGGAAGAGGAAGAGGAAGAGGAGATGAGCTTCCAGGACCTGGAATCGGGACGGTTGGGTGCCGATAGGAGGAACCACATTAACGGCAAGCAGAACACGACGCAGGCCGTAGCCTCTGGTGTTTTCCAGATTAACACCGCCGTGGCCACCTTCCAGCGCCTTCTCAACTCTCTGGGAACCCCTAAGGACACGCCTGAGCTTCGCGAGAAGCTGTAAGCAACCACAGTTGCTTGCTCCTCCCTTCCACCCTTTTTTTTAATTTTTTTTTTAATTAATTTATTTTAGTTTATGTCCTTTTTAGTTTAAATATGACTGTCTGTAATAGTGGTTTCTGATGTTTGCTCCTCCAGCTTTGACATTTTTTGTCTATAGATTTTAACAATTCTGATCAGAAATACGCGTGTCAAGCTTTAAAGCGGCATTGGGTTGGGTTAGGGATAGAAGGGAAGAAAGTCTGTTATTACGTTATGACATGTTCTAATTGGAATGAGTTTCTATGCATGCATTTCATCTGAATCCGCTGGATATCCATTATCTTCTAAAGGGAAGAGGAATGAGGAAAAAGGTTGAGGCATGAGGGAGTGGTAGGGCTATTAAAATTTAATTGTAACTTCAGTCATCCTAAACTCACTCAAAATTTTACTCACCAAGACGAATAGGCAAGTTGGTGGCAGCTGTGACAACTTTGATGTCACCAAGAGGATGCCAAAGAGGGTCTTCGGTTTTTTAATAAAGCATAAGAAGATGTAATGAGGGAGAGTAGGAAGCATGATCTCAAGTGGTAACAAGAAGTTAGGTGATATTATATGGAATAGGAGGAAAGAGTTGTAGAAAGTGATTAAGGGCATCAAAAGGTATGAGCGAAGCCATGGATTTCAAAAGATCCCCAATCTTGACCTTTTAAAGCATTAAATAGGAATTGATTGTGCCGCATCTAAGGATATTTAAGCATGAGAAAACAATGGGGAACCCCACTGTTTGCAATGATGAGGAACTATATAACCGAATTCTGTGCCTCTTCACTTTCAGAGCTCACACTTTATCTTCATTAATTATTTTCGTATAGAAACTTATTGAGTGTACAGTGCTTCTGCCATCCTAGTTTGGGTACTGGTTGATATTTAAGTTTGCCTCTCCTCATGTGTGAAGTTGACTCAGGAGTTACATTGACTTCAAGTTAACAATAGATAACAAGGTCATCCTCATCTCTTTTTATAATAACCAAAAATTAATTCACAAAGGTCGCCATACATTCTTTTGGCATGCCTCTTTTTTTTGTAAGTTCATTTTAATTATACTATCAATTGTGAGTATATGGAGGTACTATGCAGTAAAATGAAAGAATGCTAGTAATCTATCTGAAATTGTGGAGATAAGCGAGATGCTCTTAGGAAAGAAAATAGATAAAAAAAAAGATCATTGGTTGTATAAAATATTAAAGAAGCCTAGAGTTTAAAAAAAAATTATTACATGTGCAACTACCAGCGCACATGCTATTCTTCTCTTTGTAGCCATTTGACATTTATGTGAAGCATCATTGAAGTTACTAATTGGGCTTTTTAAAAGTATGAAATCATATATATTTAATATTTATATTACTATAAAATTTATTCCTAATTTTTTTTCTTCTATAGTCATCAACAAACTTGGTAATTATTTAGGATGTTTTAGAGCCTAAGATTACAGATATTAATTGAGTGAAGATTTTGTAATTACAAATACAAGATACCCAAGGAAAATAAAATCAATTCCAATAATTATTTACTTTGAATATTTTGTTTACTCTTTGTGCTTCAAGATATGAATCTAAATATTGTTTTCGCTCATTTCTATCTTGTATTTTGTACTAGATAGAACCTCTAATAGTCATTTTTTAAAATATTATATCAATTCATCATATCCAACATATCGTGCAATTTTGATATAGTTATTCGATATTTGGTGGTAATCTTATTGATATAGTCTACTATTGATACATGTTAATTTCTGACTTAGATGTGCTAGATATTAGAATTGCACAATATCTTAAGCTCCCTCAAATAAACTATTTTAAAGCAAATCATCTTATTATAATTTCATCATATTCAGTTGAATTCATGTTATGATGTGTTAGATTCTGTAAGGATGATTTAGGAATCAAATCAGTAATATATTGTATTCTTCTTAGTGGTGATAATTCACATTAAGTCAAATCAACTTATAATTGTTTAAAATACCTAGTCTTTCACTTTTTTTCAAGAAAATACAAAACTAAAGTTCCTACAAAAATAACATTACAAAAGCTCAAAGTACTAAAATAAAGGTTTTTTCAATTTGTTTATGTCAATGCACATATCTTGTATTTTCATCAATTAAAAATTTTGATCTTTGCTCCAAAATATGTCAGTGCATTAAGCTAGTTGCTTGGAGAAGCAAAACTACTCTGACAAACATTTACATGTGAAAGCGCTTTATTTTTTCTTAGGGTCTGTTTGGGGCAGCTGCAGTTTATCCAGCTTATCCTGATAATCTGGTGATAAACAGCTGATTCGGATAAGCTATATATTTGTTTGGTTTGTGCGTTTAAAGAACAGTTGATTCTAGAAAAATGATCAATCTTCCCTTATTCTAGATAAGTTACAGCTGTTTGATTTGTGCGTTTTGTAAACAGCTGATTTGTAGATTTTTTTAGTTAAATGAACAATCTGGCACGAGAACAACTGATTTTCACTACTAATGACACATTATCAGTTGTAGTTAAATGAACAATCTGGCACGAGAACCAACTGATTTTCACTACTAATGACACATTATCAGTTTGGGATTCATTATATAACCAGTGAGGAAAAATAGCAGCAAAGATGATTTCCTGCATTCCGATGTAGCAGATCGGCAAACATTATATATCCAGTGAAGAAAAATACCAGGAAAGAACTTACGACAACCAAAGATAACCAAAACCATCCATAAAATCGAAATGCTCCTTACGGTAACTCATCCTACTTACGGTAACCAAAGAAAAATCGAAATGCTCCTTACATTATATAAAATCGAAATGCTCCTTACGACAACCAAAGATAACCAAAGACATTCATACGAAACTCATCCTAATAACAGTAACCAAATATAAGAACTTATAGAGCGCAAAGGGAGGATCACAGGTGAAAAGAGGAAAGAGATAAGTGTTATAAGGAACAAGCACGATGGATCGTATATTACGATCTCCCATTTTTTCTCAGAGCACGGAACTTTTAGAGCACGAGCTGGGATGAGGAAATGAGGGGTAGGTAAAGTGAAAATCACAGTGAAACGCTCGACCGCGGCACCGAGGGCGCGGGCCGCAGTCCTATATTAACTAAAAAAGGTGTTTTACTCATGCAGCCAGGACGCCTCTGCGGAGTTTTCAAAACGCACAATCCGTGAATAAGTCCCCCCAAACAGACCCTTAATTATGTTGATATCTTTAGTTGTTGTTCTCAAGCTGTGAGTGGGCAAATGATAAGCCTTCTTTACCCATTTTGGCAATGAGTTTAAAGTTCAGAGTGGAGTCTTGTGTATTAAAGGGTGGCTTGCCCATGCAGGCTTGGTCAAGGTAAGAATTAAGGGAGGGCTTTGGTGAAAGATTGAAGGGGATTAAGAGAGAGAGTATGGAAACAATTGGATAATTTTACAAAGAAATCTTTTATTAGCGGATGATGGATTCCCTTCTTCTTGCTTTGCTAACTTTCTTCCTTTTTAGTTACTTCTTCTTTTTTTTTTTCTTGCTGAATTAATAGCTTCTGCTCATTGTAGTTTTTGGTTAGAGGTAGGACTTAAGGAGAGAGTTTCTAGAGAGAATTCAGAAAATTTGGAGGTTTAGTTAATTACATGAAAATCGTAACTATCCTAAAAATAAGCTATATCTTTTCCTACATATTTACAATCTTTTTAAACCATCTACAACATATTATCAATAACGATTTTAATAAAATATTATCTAATAGGTGTTGGGTGGCATCCTTAGTTAATTTAGTACTAAAATATTAATATTTTAATGGACCAGCAACCTAGGAAAGAAGATAGAGGAGGGGAAAGGTGGCTTTTCTTTCTGCGATTTCTTGTGCAACCTGATCTTCTCCCTTGTAACTCGTGTAAGTATCCATTTATTTTTCATACAACATGGTTCTTTCTATGATGTCCATCCAATTTTTTCTGCCTCCTTTCTAGGTCAATTTTTGTGCTGCATGGTTATGTGGCTGAATCTATTATAGGGTATGTTAGCTTACTTCATGTGTAGCATCTTGATCCACCAATGGAACTTGACTAGTTCGTTAATCAAATCAAATGTCGGGAGAGCCCCCAGCATCAGTCTTGCACAAAAATTTACTTGTAATTATACCATAACTAGAAATCCTTTACAAAAACCCTTCTTTGGAAGATTGATCTCATCTCTGCCAAAAGATCTTAGCTGTCTCTGCTTTATCTCTTTCCTAACTATCTAGATAAATCTTCTCTAATTTAGGTTTTCGCTGGCAGGCATAAGACTAGGCTACATATTGGACAGTTGGTGAAGGATACCTCAGCAAAACTAAAAGAAGCCAGTGAAACCAATCATCAGGGAGAAGTTAGCGTGAGTACTCAAGGAGTTATATATTTCCTCGACTTCTACATTTTCCATGTTTACTTGCATATCCAATAATTTGAATTATCTCGCAGTTTTATGCAATCTTATTTTAACCGGGATATCATTGTATGCCCCTGAAAATTATGCATGACTTGAATGGTTGACTGTTGAATAGAGTGTTGGCTTCGCAACTCAATGAAGCAATTTTGAGATTGTTACATCATGAATTTGATGTGTGTACTTGCTCTTTGAAGCCGAAATATAGGTTGCAGATAGCCTCATTAAAATTCTTGATATTATTGTTTATTTTGTCAATCATCAGTAGAAGCAGCTGCGGCTGACTTATACCAACCATTTGGTGTCAACCTATGAACGCTTAATCTCCATTCATGCACATTCAACTCTGCACTTGATGGCTCATATTAATTGTATAGCCTTACCTATTTTTTAAAAAATAAGACTGTTTTTAAAATGGGGCATTTACATACACAGCACACAATTCTTGTGTATTTACATATCGCCCACCTAAATTCTCATATTTACACAGATAACACTTCATCTTTTAATATTACATTAAAAATAGCACTTTTACCACTTTTAAAAATCAAATATACCTTTTCATGCATAAGTTTAAAGTGCCTAAGTGCTATGTATGTAAATATGAGAGTTTAGATGTGATAAATGTAAATACATAAGAACTGTGTGCTACTTGTGTACATCACCGTCAGTTTATTTTCTAATTCTTTTTGCACTACAGATTCTTCTTATATGGCTTCTCAAATATAGTCATTGTTCATTTATCTTCTCCTGTGTGTAACACTGATGCTGTTTTTTTTCATCTTTGAGTTTCACCTCATTCACTGTACTTGAGTAATAAAATGGCATCTTACAGAAAAGCAAAAAGATTGCTGATGCAAAGCTTGCAAAAGATTTCCAAGCGGTGCTGAAAGAGTTTCAGAGAGTTCAAAAGCTTGCAGCTGAGAGAGAAACAGCATATACACCCTTTATACGCCAAGCAGTTCTTCCTTCAAGGTCTGTATCATTTGCTTTAGCATAGACAGTTTTAAAGCGTAATAGAATTTAGCATCTTACGTTTGTACCTGCTAGCGGAATATTTATCAGCAAGATAACATTTGCCGAATGCCATTTAGAGATTGACAATGTTCAATCTTGTTTAATATTGTCCAATATTATTTGATGCATTACACTTAAAGGTTTAGATTTTACTGATGCAAATTTAAGTTGAGATTCAAAAATAAGCATGTTAAATATGAAAATTCATTATCCACCAACTCTCAATTTAGATAAATATTAGCCTCTTCTGATGTAAAGTTATAAAACACATGGAAATTGCACAAAATGATAATTTAAAAATCGTCAAGATTTTAACTTTTGCAATGATTAAGAAACTAACACTGCAAAAAGGAATGCCAAATTGCTGCAAATTTGACATAATCTCAATCACTTGCACGCACAATACTAATTATGAAATAGGTAGATAAAATAAATTAGAATGTAAGTTCATTAATAAAATTTCAAAGTCTCGCCTCAATACAAGGAAAAGAGAATTTGTTATCACCATTCACACTTGAATTAACATTCAACATGACTACACGAGTTTAAGGGGAAATATAATTTGTTTTTGAACTATTGAATGATGAATTACATACCTCAAGGGTACTCTTTATACCGCAAAAAGACTTTCTTTCACGAAGTTAAGACACTTTCTTATAAACCTGTGTATAAGGTAGTCCAAAAGCCGAAAGGAGAAGGATCGCAAGGATTGGAAAGTGGAAAAATGTGTAGATTTAGAAGAACTTTTGTTATTTTTAAAAGTTTAAAGCATTTTTAAAAGAAACTCATGAAGGAGAGGTGGTTCCCAGGCTTTGTAAGGCTTGTGGATTTAATTACAAGAAAGAAAGGGAGGGGTTCAGCATAGGGATAGAAGAGGGTAAGGTGCTGTCAAATTGATGTGATGGTCAAATGATGAGGTGGTTCAGCAAAGGGATAGAAGAGGGTAAGGCGGTGTCAAATTGATGTGATGGTCAAATGATGAGGTGGTAGTCAAGTATGGTAAAAGATTAAGGTAGTGAGCTAGGACAACTAAAGCATATGCACAAGAATTAAAAAATTCTTGGTCCTCTAAATTTACACTACAACTTAAAGGACATTTACAAGACCAAAATGCAAAGGTCAAAATACCCAAAACATTTGACCTCATAACGCAAGGTTCACATGCATGTCACTCAACATAAAGAAAAATTATATGAAGCAAGTCTTAGGTACGCATCATATTAGACTTAGAGATGGCAATGGAGATAATTAATTTGATGCCTTGGATCAACACTTCTTGGCTTTGAAGGATTCGATACCTATGAATCATGATTCGGGTCCTCCTTTAATGACTCTAGGCTTAGCTACTAAAACTCCTCCATCGTTGACTATGAGTACAGATGGAAGTTCTTGCTAGACATTTAATTTAGAATTGTTTTAGTTATTTAAAGTCTGCTCGGATCAATGAGATCTCAAGCAACGAAGCAAAAGTGTCTTTACTAGCGTCAAGGAAGAAGTGTTAACCCAGAAGTCAAAATTGCTTGTGAACTACATGTATAACTAGAGTTCACAACCTATGTTTTAGAAGGCATTGATGGGGCGCGCCCCTGAGTGAGGAGTGTGGTAAAACGCCCTTGCCTAGTGAGGGGGGTGTGATTCTCATGGAGCGTATGTCCCCACACGCCTTTTACGCCCTAGAAAGAATTTTTCGTCGTGGGCCTATGCCTCCATCTACTAAAAAAAAAAAGAACTTAATTGTACTCAGAGCCTTAGACCTTCTTGATTTTATCGCAGTCGTCTCTCCAACAGCTCTTCGTCGCAACTGTCTCTTTCGCAGCTATTCATCATAGTCGTCTCTCCCTCAACTCTCACCTACACCCTTCTGCATGCATGCGTAGAAAGCGCAAAAAGCAATTTCGGACGTCGCACTCCGGCCCTATCCCCTGCAAGGCCCACTGGTGCGTGATCCACTTCCATACGTCTCTCTCGCAGTCCGTCGGTAGTTGTGCATCCGTTGTTGTGTGATCTCTCACAGTTCCGCACCCGTCGCCCTCTAGCTCTCATAGTTTTGCTGAAATATACGTAAGCACTATTTAAATGTGCGGATTTCATTATATATACAATGATTTCATTGTAGCTGCATTGAAATTCATGAAATCCACATGTTGTGTTTGTTGCAACTTGCCAATTTAGAATTCATAGGATTTAAATATAAATTTGAACATGGTTTAATCCCCCACAATGATAACTTATTCCACAACAGAAAATAAGATATAATGTGGATTTCACGGATTTCACTGCAACCTTTAGCATTATTGGGATTTAGTAATTGAATATAAGTTCTTTTAATATCACTTAATAATTTTTTTATTAAGTTCATTATTTTATTTATTCACTTATTAAATATGCCGTATGTTTCTTTTATATTGTGGGCCTAATGCCCGACGCTTTGGAGCTTACGTCTCGCCAAACACCCCCACCTTTTAAAACATTGTCCACAACATGAAGTTAAATCAGCTACAATTAATTATAGGGAGGTTCTAAAATCAATAGGAGCATTTGCCTCATATGAATTTTCATTAATTTTTCACATACTTTATAGGGTTTAGACTTCTTGGCGTTTAACTTTTTGAGAAGTCCTTTGGAAAATCCCTAGGGTCTATCCCTCACAAGAACCATATCTCCCTCATTAAATTCTTTAACCAGATATGTGAATCAACGTCATATTTGTACTTGTCATAACTTAAGGTAAGTTTATGTTGAATTTCTTAGTGAAGATCATGCGTACTTCAAATATATAAATGTTTAGATCAAATGGTTTTACATAGTTTATACCAATGACATTGTGAAATGGGCCAATGCCGGTTGATTTATTAACTCAACTGTTATAAGTGAACTCAACAGTATGAGGATTAAATCCCAGCTTATGGTGTTATTTGTTGCCTAACACTTCAGCAAGTTTCTTTATTACAGGTTGACATTTTTTTTCAGTCCCTTTTAGAGATGGCTTGTAGAAGTAAACATGAGTTTCATATTGAGTTTCTTTCTTTCATAATATTTTTCATTAGCAGCTCACCAACTCCTGAGAATTTATTTAGGCCTAAAATAATAGCCTTCAGTAATCATTGAAAGTGCACAATTTTCCTAAAGAATAAGATAATGATGTGTAGCATAATAAAAGCTGTGTAACAATTAATGAATTGTGTTATTTTGGAAACCAATCAACTACTATTCTTATGGCTTGCAGGGAATGGGAAAGGGAGTACCATTTTGATGTTTGGCTCAAAAGAATCTTTCTTCCATCATAGCAATCATCCTCACATAACCGAAGCAATCAGATGTGGCTTTTCAGTGAATTTTTTTCAATGAGAAAATCTCAAAGAGATGAATTAAGGATGCAAAGTTGGGCCTCTTGGAAGAGTTGGCCATCTTGCATCCGAAAACTAGTACTAAAGGTAAATGAATTTGAAGTTAAGGACTCAAAAGAATCTTTCTTCCATCATAGCAATCATCCTCACATAACCGAAGCAATCAGATGTGGCTTTTCAGTGAATTTTTTTCAATGAGAAAATCTCAAAGAGATGAATTAAGGATGCAAAGTTGGGCCTCTTGGAAGAGTTGGCCATCTTGCATCCAAAAACTAGTACTAAGGGTAAATGAATTTGAAGTTAAGGACTCACATATCTCACCAAAGTCTTTGCAATTGGGATAATCACTCTTTTCCAATAAGATGATCTCAATTCTCATGTTCTACAATAATGGGCACATCCTACTCGAGGTGTTTGTTACTTTCTTTTCTCAACATTGTTTTTTGCGTGAGGACAATGTTATAATCTTGTGGAAGTGATCCCACTAGCAATGTTGAGAGCTAACTTTCTCTTGATCATTAAGGCACTTGATTTTACCTTACGGTTCAAATATAGCTTTAACTCTCGTGAGAGCTGAGAGAACATATCATGATAGATCCCTTCGTCTCCTACTAACTATCTCAGTTTGTCCCTCAGTTAGTGTGTGTTGATTAATTGAAAATTTTATTACAGTTCGTATTTTTTCCCCTCAAAGTTTCTCGAAAGCAATTCATGAATTTCACATCTTTGTCAAGTATAATATTTAACTCTCGTGAGAGCTGAGAGAATATATCATGATAGTTCCCTTGGACTCCTATTAACTATCTCAGTTTGTCCCTCAGTTAGTGTGCGTTGATCAATTGAAAATTTTATTACAGTTCGTATTTTTTCCCCTCAAAGTTTCTCGAAAGCAATTCATGAATTTCACATCTTTGTCAAGTATAATAGTTTTTTATGATTTATGCAGTTTAACCAGTTCCCAAAAATACAATTTCATTTTGTGTGATGCATTAACAATTTTATAATATAGAATGAAATGACTAAGGAATTATTTCTTGTGAATTTTACAACATTGTCAAGTTGCTGCCTTGGGGGAATTTATGACTGAATTTTAGTTTTACATGTTATGGGATGTTTTTGTGGTTATCCAAATAACAACTGAAGCTCTATGCACATTGCAACATTCATATTTATTCTTCATATTCAAATTTTAACTTTGTTAGTGACATTTTTATGCAGCTACACTGCAAGTGAGGCTGGTATTGGTTCTGAGAAAACTCCAGAGGAGCGTGCTCTGTTAGTTGAGTCAAGAAGGTGCATAATGACTTGCTTTTTCTGGCCTTTAAGCTTATTTAAATTATGTTCAGTTTCTGCTGGTATAATTTTTAATATACCTCTATATGCTTACCCACACAAAAGAATATTTTTTTTTTTATCTCTCGTATACAAACAAATGTGTAGTATCGCCAAATCTGTACATTTAAGTTGAGGGCAAAGGACTAATAGTTTATTGTAGGTAGAGCAATTTCAATGATTTTTGTAAGCATTCTTCGAACTTCAATTACTGTGCATCTTTCTCTACATGTAACTGAAGATATTTTTTATCTGAATCTGATGGATATAGAATTTTTTTATTTTGTGCATTCAAAAACATGTTTGATCATCATCAATTTTTGGGAACTTCAGGCAGGAGGTACTGTTGTTGGATAATGAGATTGCTTTTAATGAAGCTATCATTGAGGAGCGACAAGTGGGCATACAGGAGATCCAACAGCAAATTGGAGAGGTTAATGAAATATTCAAAGATCTTGCAGTGTTGGTTCATGATCAAGGAAATATGATTGGTGAGTTATTTCTTCCTTAAACCTTTTTTTATTCCTACCAAGTTAGTTAGTTAATCAACATTAATAAATCATAGATGATATCGGCTCCAATATTGATAACTCCCTTGTGGCCACTACACAAGCCAAAACCGAATTAACCAAAGCATCAAAGACGCAGAAATCAAACTCATCTCTGGTATAACACATCATGTTCTTCTCCCTTCCTGATATCTTCATTTTTTTTTTAGCTTTTTTTTTTCTTTTTTATAAACAATATGGTAACTGCTTCCACAGGGCTGCTTGCTATTGGTGATATTTGGTGTTGTCCTGCTCATCGTAATCATCGTTCTGGCTGCTTGATGGGGCTAAAAATTGATTTGATTGGAGCCAATGCTGCTTGATAGATGAATTATCATGTGAAATTAGTATGGTTTGGTTGCAAGGTTTTGTGATTTTTCTGGGTTTCCTTAATGCCTTGCTGCCATGTTTGTGTTGAGATTGTTTGCCATGTGAGTAATTAACGCTGAGCCATATCATATTTGTGTATATACATAACATGAATAATTAAGGCAGTCATTGTATCATGCCCTCTTAGGGAATAACGATATACATAACATGAATATTTTTTTTTTAATTATAACACATAAGATACAACTAAACTAAGGGTGTGCTTGGGACAGCTTGTGTTTATCAACCGTTTATTTGGAAACACGAACCGCGAGTACCAACTGATAACCTGCTCAAATGCAATTTTCAAATGATGAGGCAGTGTTTTTAAAATGTTGCCGCAATGGATAAGTTGCCCCAAATGGAGCCTAAGTTTGAGTTGTGTTAGCCCTTATGTTTTCCATGAATGGCGGTTGTACATGATTATAGGGATTGTTAATTACTTTTCTAACTCCAAATTATTGTGGAAAGCCCGGTTTTTTGACAGCTTGATATATTGATTATTATATTCATCGAGTTGCAGGGAAAAAAACATTTCAGGACGTGATTTTCCATTTTTTTCAGAAATGTTTTACTCTGCAAATAATTTGACTAGTATCAACAGATGGTTGGCTTATGGTCGTGAGTTTATTTTTTTATTATTATTATTTATTATTTTTTTTGGATGGTTACGTTGAGAATTTTGGGCCATAAGATGTTCATCTCCCAAGGGAGTTTTAATGGACGCAGGCAGTCATTGTATCATGCCCTCTTAGGGAATAACATATAAGCGATTAGTGAAGGTCTAGTCCGATATTATATGTCCTCGTATGGCTGACTCAATGTCAATGGTGTGCGTGCAAGAACTTACAATAGGTGAACAATCTTGTCCAATCAAGCTCTCAAAATTATTATCATCCCGCAAATCAATCTGATAAAATAAGAAAATATCTGTGGAATTTTTTAGCCATTTTTTTTAATATCATGCATATAGCCAAGCAGGTATGATTGGATATAGGATTTTATGCTAGCTGATCAAGAACGGGCACTTACGTACATAACACTCAAGTCCTATGTATTTACAGCTTTACTTTTTTAAAATACACTTAAGTCCTATGTATTTACAGCTTTACTTTTTTAAAATTTATATCACAGTTTTGATATATATTAAAAATACCACTATTTTAACTTTTAAAGTGATACACCTTTTCATGCATTGATTAAGCAGCATACATGTAGAAATTGAGGTGTAGGAGTTACATGTAAATACACGTAAATTGAGATAAGTATGTAAATCATACAAACAAATTAAGTTATGACAAGTTATACAGTTGTAACAATTTAAAAAATAGGCGGGTGGATGGTCCCTCTAGATGATTGCATAGATTTCGGTGCAAAAATGCCAATTGGGCAGTCAATAGATGATGATATAGGTGCCCGCACGTGCATGTATTGTAACGTCGTGAAAAGTGGAGAGTGGATAGAACGAAGGACCTGTCAGATGCATAGAGATGAAGAAAGCAGAGGGCTTGCGAGGGATGATTGACATGCTGAGTCTCATGAGAGATAGTTGTGACATAGTTCAGCAGAATACATACAAGATATAACTACAATGTAAGCTGTGTGTTTAATATGACTGCAATATGTTTGATATGTGGTTGGCTATGATAAGCAAACCGTGACGCTAAACCTTGATATCACAATGATTAGAACTCTTTACAACCATGGTTGCCACGGCCGTCTTTAAATGAACTCTTTCATTGACGCGAACCTTATCCGTGCAAATAAATCTCCAGTCTTATGAGATGCACATCGCGAGCAAAAGTTACGATGCACAAGTTAATGAGTGGTCGAACAAGTTATCAGCTAGTATATTCAGGAGTTCCATCGAGTATTTACATATCAGAAACTTCTTTAATGATAACGAAATTATTTTCATAATCTAGCTATCTCGCAAGATATGAAATAATTAAATTCACTTTTAAAGGGCATTCACATACATGGCACCCTAAATTCCAATGTAGTACTTTACATATCTAACATCTAATTATTCTTTTGTTTTTGTAACACGCAAATCCTTCATAATTCATCAAAAATAGTCATCATTTTAACTTTCTAAAATTGTGAAATACATTTTCATACACAGATAAGATGATATGCAGGTAAAAATTGAAGCTCAAGTATTAGATAATACATTAGAGTTGAGTGATGTGTACATAAATATTCCTTAATTTTAATATCTAAAATCCAAGATGAATGAATATCAAAACAAAAAACAAAAAAAAACCAATAATAACTGAGCATATATTATCAACATAGAAATATGACTGAATTGAAAAACATACTGAATGCTATATCTCAAGAAGATCCTAGAAAACAAAAATCATTAAAAGATAATCACTGATGTTATAGTGTAGAACAATGCAAGTTTCAAAGGAAATGTAAACTCAGCCTTAGTTGCTTTCTAATAAAAAAAGCAGTCAATCGGAACCGTTGTCTATAGTTGTCAAAAGCTCGAAAAAAGATTAACAACATCAAAAAGTTTTTATCCCACTAAATGCAAGACAAAAAAAGATTAACATCAAAAAGTTTTTATCCCACTAAATGCAAGAAAAGTTAACGAAAGATTTAAATTTAAAATACAAGAATTGAGAATCAGTTGTATTCAGACCAAATTAAAACATCATTAGACAATATGGTTAAAAAAGCGAAGCAAGTGAAGCCTCTAAAGACAAACAAAAGTAGACGAGCAGAATCAGTCGAGCAGGGAGGGATAGTGGGGGGAGGGGGGTGGCATTTTATTCAGCCAACGACCTTCCTAGAATAGCGCCTTACAGAGGGTACCTCGTATGAGCGTGTGAGGAAATCAGTGTGGCCATGCCAACCCCCAGCCTTCAATGATGGTGGTGGATGCCTTGCACCACCAGAAACCAATCTTGATCCTGATCCTGCTTGACAACTGCCACCACATCTAACGCTTAGCTTTGCTAGCTTTTCTGCCACCTCCTCATCTGAAGATGATGCCTTGCTCAATGACCTCCTCAGTGTAGCAAAGGTGCGGGGGGCCACTGAGCCCGCCTCGTCTGCTATCCTCTTGCTTGTTATGGTCCCTGCTGAGCTCAACAAACAACAATATTTCAATTTTTTTTTCAACTATAATTTCTTGGTGTAAGATGCGTCAGATATATATATTAACTAAGAACTTGCCATGATTTTGCTTTGCTGGTGGCTGGTAGCGTGGCTGCTTAAGACTGTTCTTCAATTTCCCACTCTTATCGGCCTCCTGTAAATTAAATTGAATATTTAAATGTAATCACAGAAGACTTGCAAGTTGACAACATGGAAATCACACCAACTTTGAGTGCATAATTCACCTGCTGATCCATGGAGAGCTTTCGCTGCACCCCTGAGCCAAACATAGAGTAGTGATAAATCATCTTTCACAAGTGCGAACACACTCACGATTGGAAATATTTTACCCAACACCTATTATGCGATATCATACAAAATAATACAATATGAAAAGGATCTCAAAGTACCTGACTTGAGAGAGCAATTTATCTTAGCTCGCAGCACATTGCTTGCAGGCTTGTTGCTTGAAAAAGCTCCTGTTGAATACCTTCTGCTACTCTTCTGCTCCACCAAACATTTGTTCCCAACTAAAAAAATTAACAAATGCATCAAAATTCCACTTTACTGCAAACTATGTCAAAAACAACAAACAGCAAATACAAACAAACCAGATGGAGGAGTGTTTGGAACTTTGGGACGAAGAGATGGAGGAACATAAATGGAGCCCTGGCACAATGAGTAATGAGAATGATGTAAGAGCCATATGCTTAAAGACTGAGAGCATATATACCATGGAGAACTATAAAGTTCATTTCACCTGGAAAAAAGGATGCTGAAGAACTTCTGCTGCTTTTGGCCTTTTGGCGGGATCCCAGGCGCAGAGAGACTGCACATGTATATGAAAAGTTTAAACTTCAAAATCCACATGATAAAATAATTTAGTTTTTCACAGAACAGTTGCCAAACCATCATTATAACCAGACTATACCTTAATAAGATTGACTGCATTCTCACTTGCTGAGGGAATTAACTCTGACAAATTGGCACAAGGAACCTGCCATGAAATAGGCAAAAGAGAATATAGGGGTTCAATCAATCTCGCATAATATGGGCCACTTGTGGAACTTCATAATTAAATGACAATAGTATGTACCATACAAACAAAAATACAACATTCAAAATGTAAATATTTTGAAATTAACCAGTGAAGTTTTAAACATATTTTTCCAGTGTACTATTCCTTGGCAATGAAAAAACCAAAACAATCCATATAAAACAAATATAGAACACTAAAAATAATAATAATTGTAAACATTAATTAATAACCAATAATAACAAAAATGCTATTAATTTCGTCAACAAAGTACAACAAAACAAGATTTAGCTATTCAAATTACATAAAATAAACCAAAAAGTAAACCCAACACTGCAAACAAAATAGTAGCTTCAGGAAACAATCGAGGGATTTGCTGATGTATATATCATTAAGGAAAACATTAAAATTTACCACAGCAACTACATGACAAATAACTATAAATTTATATTAATAAAAACCTCCTAAAATCTTATTGTACTGTAGTGCGTTAACTACTTCACCCACCCTGCAGCTGATGCTAATTAAGGCTCTACCTTATGTCTTCAGTAAAAAGTAAGTTATTAATAAAAAGGCATTAAGGCATCATTTGATAAAGCTTTTAAACTGTGTTCCGTTTTGGAGGATACCATTTTAAAATTATTCCATTTGTTTGTCTGTAATGCTTAAACCGAAACACTTTCAAAACAAATTCATTTGCTCCTCATTTCCGATCGTCATTTGCATATGGCATTCTTGGGCACAGTCTGCGGTTTGCAAAGTTAAAATACTACTATATCCTAAAATTAACGCACAATTTCCATTCCTGTTCACGTCTACTTCAATGTGTCCTCCCTGCTATCTTCCACCTAAAGATCGAGCAGCTGCGCAGAGCATATTTGCCTCGAATAAAATGTGATCATTCCCGGCTTCTCCTATGCCAAACATTTTTTTTCTCTGCTCACTTAATTATTGGTTTTGTGAACTACAGGAGCTGTGAATCAGGCACAATTTCTAGCCTGCAGCCTTCAATCAAGTGAAAAGCATTTAGAATGTTTCAGTTGCACACAAAGCCTGAAATCTTCTCTCTAAGGTGCGACGAAATATAAAGGTACGGGCTCTCGGAAGCCTTGTCTATCAATATTTATCCTGTAAATGCTATCCTTTGCTATTGCATTCGATAAATTCAGGGATTTCATCTTTGCGTTGATTTCAAGCAATATATTTGCTCTTTTACCTTGCTTTTCATGATTCTTCTATAAAACAAATACATCATGATTCTTCTATAAAACAAATACATTTTTATTCTGCAAGTGAATTCAATTATACCAAGAATATGTTTGTTTAAATTTCAGAATCTTCAAGCAGAAGCAATGCTAACCCTTATTTCACTACTAATTTCAACTTCTTACTTCAGTTCGATTTCTAAAATTTAGGGTTTTCAATCCCTTCTCCCGCTGTTTTCATTTGTTCTAAAATCTAAATTTAGTCAATTTCAACATGTTTACGGAAAATTGCTTGATACATAATAGAAATGGGATTTAAGATTATGTAGGATTTAAAGATTTTTTTATGCTATTTTGCAGGATTTAGGTTAAATCCTTCTCCAAACAGCCCATGTGCTTATGTAGCGATATATTTAATTTGGATTGATGGGATATACAGCATCAATAATGCAATGATTTTGTTCAGCTTCCATGCTTTAGTTTCAGAACTGTATCGAGTTAAAGATCTTCATATTATTCAGCTGTATCGTGAGAGTCAAAAGTCCAGAATTGCAGATTTTGCCAAATTAAAACTGTACATACGATTAGTAATAAGCTAATTAAAGACCGCAGTTGTAAGCATATTGTACTTAAATTTACTTTATTCGGTACATGAATCTTTTTTCTCTATTGCGTGCTATCGAGGGTCATATTTGTATTTAATTCTAATAAATTAAAGACAAGCCTATGACTGAAAAATAAAATTCAGTCATATATTTGTGCATTTTACCACTAAAAAAAATAAAATAATTTTTTTCTTGTATTGTGTTGTTTATTTATTTATTTATTTATTTAACTTCCAACATATTTGTTTCCTTTGATCTATTTATTTTCTAGATAAACTGCATGCAATTTACGTACTATTAGGCCTAAAGGCTTTCAATGCTATTTAACTAGAAATGTATAAGATTTTGTGCCTTTACTGAAATGCCAAAATCATTTTAAACTCATATCAATATAGTTTTTGTTAAATATATTTTGCTTGTCGTTTATACCTTTCTCCTCGGTTTTCAGAAAAAGCTCTTTGGTAAGGCTGTTAGTCAAAATAAAATTATTGGAAAGTAATAATAAATTGGTGATTATTTTATTTTAAAAGATTACATGTGGTCAGGCTTTATACCAAAGTACTTGAAGTCGATTTTCAAAATCACAGAACAAAGGTGAAATTCCTCACTTCCCACTACCGTCATATAGGCCAAATAAAAATAATTTGGCTCTCTAGTTTTGCAGCATGCAACAAAACAAGAATGAATGATGAGCAGGTCCCAAAAGCACACCAACACCAACTCTACAAAAAAGGAATTATTGACTAGCATAAACTTACACTAAAAATACTAAAATTGAAGTAGGGACATTAAAAAAATAAAACACAAGTGAGACAAAAGAAAGGCACAAAAAACATCAACAATTTAAAATAAGGAAGCATACTCCTAGCACACACTTCTTAAGTATTTACATATCTCACACCTAAACTTACATATTTACATATTTTGTGTTTTAAATCTATGCATAAATTGTGATTCATGTTTAAAAAGCAGTAATAGACCTATTTTTTATGCAATATTAAAGATTTGAGTGCTTTGTGTATAAATATGAAAGTTTAGGTGTGAGATATGTAAATACATAAGAATTGTGTGCTATGTATGTAAATGCCCCTTTAAAATAAGGATAGAAGAAAGAACCTGTGGAAATCTATAATTCAAGGCATCAGCAAGTCGGAGGCCTTCAGCCCAGGTGACATGATCAGGGCTACCAATTACACTACAGATTTTGTGAATCTCGTCTGTTTCACTGCAAAGTCCAAAGAATAAGCATCAGACCAATGTTAGATCTTATAATAACAACAAATTCATGGGCTACTATATCGTCAATCTCATAATATGGCATTGGCTCATAAAAATATTATGTTTAGTATTTATTTTACAAAAAAAAACTACAGGTTTTGCATGAAATCATACTGAAGGAATATTTAATTACTCCAATGAGTCAAGGAATACAGTATTACTATTAAACATAAACTTTCCCTAAGATAGCATGATTTCTAAGGAGATGGGAATCAAAAGTTGCAGCCTTTTTAAAATTAACTTAAAATTATGCACTGCAAACACATGTCGGATCAAGATATTACTTCGAGCCAGGAAAAAGAGGATTAAGAGTGAAAAGTTCAGCCATTATAGCGCCCATCGCCCATATATCTAAAAGAAAGAAAGCACGAGTCATCAGGATCATAACATGTAAAGAAAAGATGTTTACTACATATTCCAGGTTTATGAACCACTCACCAACTGCTGCATCATATAAAGAAGACTGCAGTAAAACTTCTGGTGCTCGATACCTAAATATTTGCAGATGCATCAATCAAACAATAATATAAAATAGCATTAATGTACAAGTACATAAACAAGAGTTTCAATGGAACTACCAGCGTGTGGAGACATATTCTGTGTATGGTGGTTGTGAGCACAATTCACGAGCAAGACCAAAATCAGCAATCTTTATAGTCTCTTTGGTGACCAATAGGTTTTCTGCAAATTTTCATCGAGATCACCATCCACGTCATAACAAGTAAAAAGAGCCAGATGACTACAGAAAGAGTCTTTTGGTCATCCATAAAAAACACGTTAGATTGGAAAGGGACTGCTTCATAGGTTATAGGTTGATGAATATTGACATTAAGAGTTATTATACTTGGATTGTGAAGTCCTTTCACAATCACAGAAGAATACAAACATTAATGGTTCTTAATCATTGTCTTCATAAATTGGATGATTTTCCTCACAGGAAGAAATTTGAATATCGAACAATTTAGCATAAATTCAAACCCAATAAAGCAGATAACAAGCACTTATAACTGTACTAGACAAAACAACAATAGATGAAACCAACTAGGGTGTGCCAAGTAATTGAGCAAAGAACTACAAGCCATACATTTGAATCACATAAACGAACAAGAATAAAATACAGACAATAGAAACAATATTATGGCACCCCTTCACACAGTAGAAACGAAATTATAAACTACACCGAGTTCCATAGGCAATTTGATGTAAAAAAAATATGGAAACACTTGAACAAATTAATGTGAGAAACCACAATGTATGAGGTCAATAATTAGTCAAAACCATCAAACATATACGGCACCCCTTCACACAGTAGAAACGAAATAATAAACTACACCGAGTTCCATAGGCAAATTGATGTAAAAAAAATATGGAAAGACTTGAACAAATTAATGTGAGAAACCACAATGTATGAGGTCAATAATTAGTCAAAACCATCAAACATATATGTAGCAAAAACAACCCCATTTTAATAAAATAGCAATCACGTTAAAATCTTATTTGAATTTGCCATTTTTTATCACCGGCAGTCAGCAAGTGAGGCAGATAGCTGGGACGATAGTTGTAGTGGTAGTGGGTGGTGGGTCGTGGTAAATTTCATTTTTACAATAATGAAAACACCATGTTCAACTGAAACAACAACATTTTTTATTAAAAAACAAAAATAGTTAAAAAAAATATTTTCGATTAAAAAAAAATAATTCCAAACACACTAAACTAATATAAAAAGCGATGAAAGCGCATTGTCAAGGAAAATAAACATATACCAGGCTTGAGATCTCTGTGAAAGTAACCTCTCTGATGCATGTAAGCAAGTGCTTGGAATATTTGATAACACCAATTTCGAATTTCAGTTTCCATGAAAAGCTTGCCCCTATACTTCATAAGCTGGTAAAGATTGCATTCCTAATAATATCCAAGAACAACTCTAATTAACACAATATCCTTTCCAATATTAAACATTGAAAATCATTGCTCTCTCAGCAGACGCACCATGTATTCGAATATGAAATATAGTATATCATTCTCTCTTATAACCTCCTTTAGCTTCACAATATTGGGATGGTTCATCCTTCGCAGGGACTTCAAAAGGACAAACATTGTATCACTAAAAAAATGATGTTATAGGGAAAATTTTACAGATATTGTCAACATAAACAACCTTAACTTCACGTAAATTCATGCATTCCTCCCAAGTATAATAACTCCTCTTCATTTTCTTCACTGCAACCTGTCAAAGATAAAAAGAAAGCATTAAATTATACAGGCATTTCTGCTGCTTAAAACCTTGTAGAGTCATAGGTGCAATTTAAAACAATGCCTTAACAGAACTAGCGTACCACTTCACCACTCTGTTTATTTATGGCCCGCCAGACGCTTCCAAAAGTTCCATCACCAACTTCTTTTATTAACTTGTACCTGCCACAGGAGGTTACTTTTCAGGTGGAGTTCAGCATCAATTAAATCTAGATGTCAAACATAATCATCTCACCTTTCCATTTTCAATAAAGCTCAACACTTCTGATACTTAAAAAGTAAGTACTTATGGTATGGAGAAGGGTGATGTTGAAAGGACTGAATTTTTATGCATGAAACCGATGCTTTTTGCAGATACCAGTTTTGTAAATCTTTCACCAAGGGCCAGCACCCAGTCACACTGGTAAATATGTCCAGAAAGCTAACACAAAAGACAGGAAGTCACATTCTTTGTGCAGCCAAAAATCTGTTTTGAACCAAGTTCGTAGTCGATACACGACAGCTCATGGTGTAAAGCAGGATTGATATTCACTTTTCTGAGTAAGTAAAACGAAACAGATGGCAGAATTTTCTCACTTCTCCATGAAAAATACAAATCAACATGAATTTACATATTCAGTAATCCAGCCAACTTCAGCAAAGCAGAAGGATGCTGAATACAACAACGAATTCAAGTGAACAATGTACAGCTAAGATGAAGATGGACAACAGTTACTGTGGTGCAATCTAAACCTGAAAAATGAAAAAACAATAAAATAAGAATCATAGAAAACAGGAAGAGAGGTGAAATAAAGAAGACGTTTTCTTTAATGTTGAGTGCTCTGTACCTTAAAGTCACTCGAAACTGAAGCAGTGAAACCAAGCACTGCCCAAAAAAAAATCACAAGGAATGATATTTTAAAAGAATACATCTACATGAAGCATGAAATATTTATAAAAAGATCAACAGAAGAAGGTGCACTACCGATCCAACACGAGCTTCGGAAAAGAGTCTCATCAGGTTGCTTTTCAGCATCATTGAATAACAAAATGCATCTAAGTGTAGTTAACACAAGTGATTAGGAAGTCACCCATGACAATAAATCGTTGTTCAAGAGCTTCCCAAGATGGCAAGACTGGGTGTTGGCAACAAGTTGGGTAAGGGAAAACTTTCTCCATAACTCAATACAGACTATTAAGCCCACTAAGAAGTTGAGCAAAGCCTGAGGATGGGGAAAAATTTATAGATGTTATTAAATTTCTTCATAAGAAAAAGCAATAAAAGTAAACAAATAATAAAAATATTCCACATTAAACCTGAAACATACAAAAGAATAGCATGCTTGGCATTTTGTTAACATTTAGTTAGCTTTTCATTAAGCTTTGCCACCAAAGTTGGCAAGCGAACAACATTTTTCATAATAACTTGAAATTAATCTTCATATTAGAAAATGATCCAACAATTAGGAAGATAATAAAAATAAATGAAATTAGTCACACAGCATACACACACAAAGTTATATGGATTTTTAGTTGTAGTTTTCCATAGTAGCAGATCAAGCCACTATTAGCCGCCTAGCACAATGTGCAAGTTAGAAGGGGTGAAAATTCAGTAGCATCACTTACCCATGGCCATTGAATAATATATTTTAAATAACCCTAAAAGAAGAGAATTACACTGCCAAAAAAAACACATAATTAAATTAATTTTAATTTAAATTCAGAGGAACCAATACCATCAAAGTTCGAAGACTACAATAAATCTTAACCATTACTAATTAAATTTTTGTCAGATGCTTTTAAAACAAAGCCGTGGCTAAAAATAAAACATTTCTAGAATTATAATTCAAAAGCTTTAATCATGCATAAGCATCGTCAGATGCTTTTAAAACAAAGGCATGGCTAAAAATAAAAATAAAAAAATAAAACATTTCTAAAATTATAATTCAAAAGCTTTAATCATGCATAAGCATCGGGAAAAAAACAAACTAAAACAAATTGTCACAAAGATGGCCAAGGGAATCAAAATTGGAATATTATCACGCATTAACGGACATTTTAGATAAATATAAATATGTAACTTCAATGCATTAATTATTGTATCAAGTGTTAAAGAAAGTTGTGTAGTACAAACTGATCTGAGTTCCAATTTAAGTATGTAAAAAAGGAATTCTTGGTAAGAAAAATGAAAGTGCATAAAACGTGATTAACTGGTTAAAGTCAAATATAAATGGCCATCAAAGAGAAAAAGAATCGCCTTATCAATCTCCAAAAGCATAAAGAAAGCATAAACGAGAATATTTAAAAACAGATATTGTGAATGACCACCTCTAAATGATACTCTAGGTTAAAAAAAAGGATGAGAGAATAAAATATATAATAAAATAGATAAATAATACAATCACTAAACAAATAAGATCATCTAGGATTCAGTATAACAAAAATTAAGTCAAAAGGTAAACAAAATGAAGTATTTCTCAATATAGTAATAATATAAAGTTACAGATAGAGAAGGGCGTCCAAATAATAACTTTTTGAAGATGGCATCGCAAAGGACTAGAGAATTATCCATATAACAGGTGGTTTAAATATCCTAAAGTAAATAGAATCTTTGTGCATCTAGACACCCTTAATCCATAAAAAATAGCTTGAATGGTACAGCATAAAATGGAGTTAGACAATTTACTCATAACCTCTACAACAACTTATTTACTTTTAGAAAAGTATTTCTATTATAAAATAAAATGATAAGGTAACTGGATGGTCTCCTAAATATTAAAACATAATCAAATTATGTCGGAACTGAAATTGAGACAGACTTATATTTTTCATATGTTATGTTCATAGCATTAGCCCTATGCATAAGGGGTCGAGTGTCTGCAACTAAAATACCTAGTTATTTGTTTTCATAAATGATACGTACATCAAACATTAATAACAACAAAAATCACCAAATCATAGAGCTCATAAATTTAAAGAATAAGGTCGACAAATTAAGAAAAATTAATTTCTATCAACATTCTGAGACAAGCATCATCCCCAAAAATGAGAGAGATAGCTCCCTGATTGTGTTCAGATATATTTCAGAACCTATAACCGGTCAATCTTGAGAGCAAATAGAAATAACAAAAAAATAATTATTGTGATTCTGAAACTTTTCAATCATAGTTTCTTCCGTTCACAAAGCACAGCTCAAAAAAATAATAATAATAAAATTCTCAAATTTCAATTAATTGCCAACTACTATGGGGTTGTTTGGGTGAAGTACTAAAAATTCACGAAACTTTTAAAATGTATTTAGAATACAATGTATTTGGAATTCAAGTATTCAGAATTCTTGTGTTTGGTTTGAACTAGTAAAAATTAATCCAAACTAAAAAAAAACAGCATAGGCCATGATATCTACATCAATGGGAGCTCTCAAAAAGGGCAAAGTCGCAACTAAACCTCGCAGGGGAAAGCATATGTCTCATGGGGGCAAGCATTGATTAGAGCTTGTTGGGGAAAAGTAGGAATCAACAGTAGGAATCAACAAGAACAAGAACTCACAGGGATAGCTATTTACAAAAGCTCTTGAGGCCAAGAATCGCAGACAAGAGGATGAACAAGGGAAAGAACAAGTGACTGCAATGATGAGGTTCATTTTTCAATGGAGGAGAAGCATTTAACAAACATAAGGATTTGAAATTATGCTAATTTGGTGAGTTCAAATTCCTCAAAATTAAACTAAAGTTTGCATTTTGAATTCCTCAAAAATTTGGTTTGCATTTATTTTCTTCAAAACAAACGCCAAAAGAAATGTAACGTGAAAAAGTAATGCCCCCAGAGTTTCATGGGGGTAAGCATTGATTAGAGATTGTTGGGGAAAATTAGGAATCAACAAGAACTCACAAGGATAGCTATTGACAAAAGCTCTTAAGGCCAAGCATCGTAGACAAGAAGGTGAACAAGGGCATGGCATGAAAGAACATGTGACTGCAATGGTGATGTTTTCATTTTTCAATAGGATGGGAGAACGCGGGAGAAGCATTTAACAAACGTAAGGATTTGAAATTATGCTAATTTGGTGAGTTCAAATTCCTCAAAATTAAACTAAAGTCTGCATTTTGAATTCCTCAAAATTTTGATTTGCATTTATTTTCTTCAAAATAAACGCCAAAAGAAATGTAATGTGAAAAAGCATCAGAATCTTGTGGGGGCAAGCATTGATTAGAGCTTGTTGGGGAAAAGTAGGAATCAACAAAGTAGGAATCAACAAGAAGAATCAACAAGAACTCACAAGGATAGCTATTGACAAAAGCTCTTGAGGCCAAGCATTGTAGAGAAGAGGATGAACAAGGGCATGGGATGAAAGTACAAGTGACTGCAATAAAGAGGTTTTCATTTTTTAATAGGATGGGAGAATGCAGGAGAAGCATATAACAAACATGAGGATTTGAAATTATGCTAATTTGGTGAGTTCAAATTCCTCAAAATTAAACTAAAGTCTGCATTCTGAATTCCTCAAAATTTTAATTTTCATTTATTTTCTTCAAAACAAACGCCAAAAGAAATGTAATGTGAAAAAGTAATGCAATACCCTCCCAATAATTACAACCAAAAAAGCAATTAAACAATCAGTCACTCGAAACAAAATAAGAATTATCCTAGACACGTGCTCATCAGGTATTACATCATGAACATCCAAAGAACAAAGTTAAAAACGAAATTATATGCCCCTAAAGTAAATTCACAGGTAGCAAACTGAAACAAAATGTACTTCGCCAAACTTAATATAAGTATACATTTTATTGATTAGCTAAAAACATTTTAAGGAGACATATTAATCACTCATATGCCAGAATTATGTAACGATTGTTCAGATGAAATGCATGCGTTAATAAATAACCAATAGACTATGAATGTAATTGGGCTTCTATATTTCAAGCATTTAGATGAATACTGGAAACCATCTAAAGCGACCAGCAGGTACTCAATACAGAACGTTAACCCAAATTTCCACTGCCAATAAACAATCACAACAATAAGAAAAAAACAAGTGCCAAAGAATCCCTCCATTAAAAAAAAAATGAGATAAAACTCGCTTGCAATCGAGAAAAAACAACAGATATGCGATTATCACAAACTTCCAGTCATAACTCTGCCCATCCAGGCCATCACCCGTGTTTGAGGATCTCAATCAAACTGCCAAACAAATAACCCGATCGGAAAGTAATTGCCCCATAGACACGTCAATAAAACACAAAAACTCAGATCGAATCAATCGAAACCTACCCCACCTAAAAATCAAAACCCTAGAATCAGCGGCAGCGGCCCAGGTGCCAGAAACCTACAGAAAACTTGGGGGGATGTTCATCCCAACATTACAGCGCAGATCCAACCCACCAACAAAAAGGAGGAGGAAGAAATGCAGCAGAAAAAAAAAATTTAACAGAAGAAAAAACGGATCCACCGCCGAATACCTCGTCGGGCATAACCTTCCTTGCGGCTAAAGCCGAACACAGGCCTTTGAAAATAATTTCCTCTTCTAACAAGATGGTAAGAAATGACGTAGAACTTGAACCGTAGATTTAATTCAATACGACACTATGTATATATATATAGCCGGCATTGATTAACCTGTACCTGCTGCACACGTTCACTTAAATGGCTCCTCCAGCAAGTAGGCCTTCGGTTTATTATGCGACATTTGTCAGGGAGAAACTGTCGTGAGTGGGTCGTTTCATGCCGAGCGGAAACGTGGACAAATTACTGGCCCAATTAATCTATGGTGCTCCGCCGGCTTGGATCTGCCGTCTGATCAGAAAATGGTGATGATCTGACGGTGGAAGTGGGTGACGTCTTCGTACCAAAATTTATATGCGAGGGGGGTGCGTTGCGTAGAGGAAGGAATAGACCGCGCTTAGGTGTTCGGCTTCGAGGGTGGCCTACCGTTTGCGGGGTTTTGTTCCTTTACTTTTGGTCGCTTTGTGACGGTCTCCATTTGTAGGTTTAAATTAAGATTAAATAATTTGGCATAGACTAATGAATAATTTTGCTATCCTCCTTTGTCATTTGGCACATAGGTTATTTATGTCTAACAAATGTTCCTATTAAGTGCTGATAAATTGATGAGAGAAAATTTATTTTTATTTTTATTTGAAAATCTCATAAAGGTAAAAATTATGGGATATAACTCAGTTAAAACAATTTCACTATATTACAAGTCAACTTTTCTATTTGAATAGTCAAAAGCAATATTACACAGGTTGTGACAACGATCCGACTATTGTGAATGAAGATCAACGATAGAGGTCATGCACCAGAAAATCTGAAGCAAATGTTGTTGGTAACGGCTGCCGACTGCAGTGGTTCGGTGGTGGCCACAACCTAAAGGTGGTGGACGAGCAGCTGTGGTCGAGCACTAGTGACGGTGGTGGTTGAGAAACGGTAATCCTATCATAGCAATGGTTTGGTGGTGGCGATGATTACGGCCAGATAGCGGTGGATCGGTAATGGGTGTTCCAGCGATGACTACAATGATGGTCGGGCAGCGATGATCCGGTGGCAATAGTGGTCAAATGGCGATGGTCTGACAGCAGCGATCATGGTCGGGTAATGGTGATTTGATGATACCAGTGGTTAGGTGATTGTGACTGTGGTGGCCAGGCAGCAATAGTCAAGCAGTGGTGAAGACTATATGGCAAAGGCCTAGTGATAACTACAATGATGGTCCAGTAACGACGACGTCTAAATGGTGGCGGTCATACGACTATGGTTTAGTGATGATGAAAGTGGTGGTCAGATAACGACAATCCACTAATGGTGGTGGCTAGACAGCGGTGGTCGGTGAGGGTGGCGATGGTATTCAGGCAACAATGGTAAGTCGACGGTTGTGGTTCATTGGTGATTGAGCTTGGAACCCTTAAGAGCTTGGAACTCCTTTTGCCTTCTATCCCAGTTCCATGTTTGGCATTCTCTGCAAATATTGTATAGATTTGGGCCACTCCATTAGACAACACGGAGTAATTTCCTTGATCGGATATAGTTTTATGAGTGTTTGAATGTCTTAATGATGTTGTAATTAAGTGATCTTATGCTCGTTCGATTTGCCTCATCGAGATGCTCGATTTGACTATGAACTTGTTAGATTTAGAGATCATTTGGTGTCCCAAACTACATTTTAAAACTTCTTATTATGATTAAAATGTCGGATCTAAGCTCACCTGGACTCGAATCAAACCTTTTTTTTATGTCTAGTTTGAGTTCCACGATTTTCTTTTGATTTTCTCTCTTGAATCGTGTAAAATAGCATATTGATCTTAAAAATCCTTAATTTCCATTGTTATTTGGTTGGATTCATTCTCATTTTACATGGCACTTGAGATGAAGGGAGGAAAGTCTAGAACCTCATTTGATAACAAGAAATTTGTGAGTGTTGAAGTTGAAGAACGATATCATGTTTTCTTAGTATCAAAGAAGTTCATTATGAAGAGAAAATTTTTTTCTCCTGGATGTGTTATGGAATCTATGATGGACCAAAGAGCTAGGAAATTCCTTGCAACCATATCGGCATTGTTGTGAGGGAATCTTCTGTAAATTTGCTTGAATTCACTTTTTGTTCATTGTTTGTCAGGGGAAAACATGTTGATTTCTCTCCTTTCAAATCAATGACATGTATCATTTGCCTAATAAGCCTAGCAGTTTCTTCGATAATTTCACTCCTATGGATTAAGATTTGGAGCAAATAATTACCTTTTTTGAAGAATGGTAGGGGGTGTGGAAGGTGAGAGACGATAGGACAATCAATTTCCCTTCATCTACATTAATGGTTGAGTCCAAAGTCTATCATTATTTCATTTATGTTAATGAACTTACTAGGGAGAGGGCGGCTTTGAATTTTTGTTTTCTGTCTAACAAAAATATTGATATGGGTTCTGTGATTAATCATTCCATTCAAAATATATTGAAAGGAGGATCAACTATTTGACTTGGCCACCCCTCCATGATTTTTGTTGTGTATGGGTGTTGGAGTTACTTATAAATGTTGGGAGGAACAACTACAACCCCTTAAGTCTATCTACAAACGAAACATGAGGGTTTATAGTGGTTCCACCCTATTGGAGCATGGTGAGAGTTCCTACAATCCTTCCTCTTCTGCTTCTAGACATCGTCCCTCTGCGTACATGACTTCTATTGTCGAGTATCTTGATAAGCTCAAAGAGAATACATCTATCATTCAGATTGAGGAATATGATTTGGTAGACCGTGTCTCAAATGAATTGGCAAAATAAGAGCAACTTTGATTATATCATTATTTCCAGGATGCACATTTGAAATTTTATCGAAGGAATCAATATTTAGGAGGGTCGGTTCCATTGATCTTTCCCATGCACACTCCGTATACGCTTTATGAGAATGCCCGTCGGCCAATGGATGAAGAAGAAGAAGAAGAAGAAGAAGAAGAAGAAGAAGAAGAAGAATAGTGAGATTGATATAACCACCTCATGTTTGCTTCTGTTGTATTGATTTGGCCGACTGCTGGTGTTATTCCTTTTTGTATCTTTATGTTATGTTATTTGTGTAATGTGACTAGTGTTGATATCAGGTGAACTTCAATATTGATGTTGTTTAATTTTCACTATGCATCTAAACTATTATTTGATGTATTTTGATATGGATGTTTGTGCTCCATACAATGTTGTGGTTCATTTCTACTTTCTTATATGGTTGATTCATGTTGATGTGATATACATGTTTAATATGTTTTTATAATATCCCTCATCCTATTCTATTTATGCTATTGCATTTGATAATTTTTTAGGGAGGAGGGGGGTGGGGGGCAATTATGTAACCTTAAGTTTTTTGCCCCTAGGTAAACAAATTTTTAAAGTTTTTATTTTGTTGACTTAAGTGGGGATGATTTTGGGATTATAACAACATTAAAAAGAAGAGCATACATAAATAGATGATATATGGCTCTACTTTAATTAAATTGAATTAGTTGTAGATTAATCTTTGAAATTCAACAAATGTCTATATAATCAACATCTTGAATTTTAATGAGATTTGGTTATTTGGTCAGCTAATTGCAATTAGATGGACATCTTTTTTAAAATTTTGCCTCCACTTAATATGAGTTTGTAGTTAACAATTTATATTTCATAAATTTTAATTGGAAGGGGTATTGAGAGGTAATTTAATTTATGGAGAAATTAATAAAACTCAAATTCATTAAAAGGCTAATCTTGATACAACAATCTTCAATGATCTGTATGAAAAAAAAAAATTATCTATTAAAATATTGGATAAAAAAAAGTAAATCCTAAAGAAAAGAAAGAATGAATATATGAATGAAATATCAAGGAGAAATTCTAATAAAATTTGGTTTCACTATTATCTCTTCTGAAATTAAAAAAATCCATAATATTTGTTAATTTGATTCAATTTTATGTTTATGAATTAAGAAGAGATCAACTAAAATTAATGGATGGCTAACATTTTAAAATTTGACATCTTTAGTTGTATTAACTTAACATCTGCTGAATCTCTTAAAATAAATATGGGATTAGATAACATTTGAATAATTTAAAGCTTCATGAAGCAATTGTGAAGGAATAATTCAATAGAAGATTTTGTTCACTATATATGCATCTTTGGTAGTTTGATTGCAGGTGATCAAGTAATCACTAATGAATAACCATTTCTAAAATGTTCTACAAAATCTAATGTCAAAGTTTTATTGTCACTTGCGAGCAAGTAAACTTCAAGTTTGGGGGCTTTTGATATGTTTTAAAATTTTATATAAATTGTTTTTAATTGTTTGCATTTTGTATGATTATGTTACGATTTGAGGAAGGTTTTTGTGTTTTTTTGCAGGTTAAATTAAAAAGGGGATCGAATGAAACTCAGAATGATCAAATTGGAAAAAGTTATGGTATAGTGACTGGGTGTCAGGTCAACAGTGCTTAAGCACCCAAATAAGCCAGAAATCGTCCAAAATCTTGAGAGCATAGAAAGTAGGCGTTGCATAAGCAATGCTTAGGCCCTAAAAACCAACTCTTAAGAGCCGTGTTAGTGACATCTAGGTGCCAGATGATATGTTTTGAAGAATAAGAAAGTGGCGCCTAGGCGCCAAACACAGGGTACTTAGGCGCGAGAACCCGAAAAATGACAGTTTTGAGTAGTTAAGACTTTGGTTCCTTAGTAGAAGTATAAAAAGAAAGAGCACGAAATTAGAAGGGATCATTCCTTGATTTTCTACCATTTAAAAGAGAGGAAGTAGGGAGAAGAGAGAAGAAGATCAGTAGAAGTTTGAAAGCAAGTTTTCAAGAGAGGGTGTGAGATTGTGAGAAAACTTGTAATTTTATCTACATATTTAGAATCTTAAGGAGATGCGTATACTAAGTTTTAGATTGTTTTCTTTTAGAAACATTTGTGAGGCCCTTGTGTATGATATCTATTCCTTATACCATATTTGCGTTGATGGAATTTGGCTTGCTGAGTGAATAGATTTTCTATCTTCTTTGTTGTGGAAGTGTAGGGATCTTTGCTTGGCATTTTGATTCGATTTCTGTGTGAAATTCTTAAATGATGTTGGATTAATTTAGGAACTAATTGACTTTTAACTTTGTTAGTTAATTTGTTAAAACTAATCTTGATTATAGAATTTCAAAAGGAATCTTTAAAGAACAATTAAGTTGTCCATACGAAGGCATTGGAATAAGAATATCTCCTTTAAGTTCGTGCAAACTAATTTGGGAGCATGGTTTCCTAGGACTTTTCATTTGATTTAGAAAACTAATCAAATGGATTATTGATATTTCTTAGGCTACCAGAAGGAGATAAGAAAGGTCTTTCTCCTGTTTGACATCTACTTTTAAATCATTTGTTGGGCTTGAATCCCTATATAACCACTTCAAAAGAGATTTTGAGGACATTTATTAAATCAATATCTCTCTCTCATTTTGTTGGTTTAAAACTTAGGTTTAGTTCACTTTTAAAATCAGGATTAAAACTTTAATTAAACTTTAAATCTTCAACATTTCAAACTTGGACTAACAACTGTAGGCTAAAACTTTATCTATTAGAGTTCATGTTGTTCCCTGTGAGATCGACACACAAAATTCAATTTCATATACTACTAATATGCAATGTATACTTCTGTGAATCATACATGCGTTGTAGCATTTGGTGCATGTTATGTTTTTTGTGCCGTTATCGAAGAACGGCGGTGAATTTAAATTAGAAAAAAATTAATTAAACATTTTGGTCTTAGACTTGAAAACCATAGTGTTTAATGTTCTTGCATCTATATTATTTTGCTTAATTTACAAAATCCAAAAATATCCTGGTTAATACTTATTTAATTGTGACCTTGTGTCTTTTCTTTCTTTTAGCTACTGCATAATACTTGTTACTTTACTCAGTTATGTGCTTTCAATTGAATTATTTGTTATTCACTTTAGCATAAATTCACTTAGCTAATTTAACCTAGTTGATGTATGTATATTTCATGATCTTCTGGTCTTGAACTCTAAGACCTTGAGTTAGAGAGAAGCGTTAAGGAAATAAAAAAAATTAAAAAAGACTTCAACAAACACTAGGAAAGATGGTTGATTTTCCTCATAACAATCTTAATGCCCATGGACATAATAATATACTCAATAATCATGGACCTAATATTATGCCTCGATCCTTAAGAGATTTTGTCAATACTATGGCAGATGAAATCCACCTAAGTATCAACACCCTTGGAGTAGAAGCTAATTCATTTGAACTACAACTAGTTATCATTCAAATGGTGCATAACAGTTTCAGGGGACACCTTTCAAAGCCCATAATCTTCGTTTAGTGAGCTTCTTAGAACTCTGCGCCACATTCTGCTACAATAGTATCTCTAACGACGATGTGAGGATAAGACTCTTCCCTTTGTCCTTGAGGAGTAAAACCAAAATATGATTAAACTCTTTAACTCTTGTATCTATTAGAACTTGCAATAACCTAGACCTGAATTTTTTAACGAAGTATTTTCCACCTTCAAAAACAGTCAATCTTAGGAACAATATTACCTTCTTGAGCCAGTTTAATGGTGAACCGATTAATGAAGCTAGAGAATGCTTTAAGGAACTCCTTGCGGAGTGTCCCCGCCACACATTATATGACTAGTCAGTCATTCAAATTTTTTATAATGAGTTGGTAAGATCTCTTAGGTTGATCATAAACGCAGTTGCAAGAGGATCTCTTTTGTCAAAATCTTTCGATGAGACATATTCTTTAATTAAGGAGATGACAACTAAAAACTTTCATTGACCTTTAGATCGAGTAAATAACAACTTTTTATTAAAACATAAATGATAAAAAAAAATGAGATACACAATATGATAAATAAATATGGATGAGTGTATAAAGGAATTTGCAAATGATATCACATATTTATGATCCTAATATGATTGACTTAATACATGCACATTTATGTAGGCATTTACATGTTATAGTATCATGTGTTTTTGTATAAATATGACTCATCAATTATTTGACACTACTTGATAATATACAATTCCAATATATATATACATACATAAAATTATATTTATATATATTTGACTTACCATGACAACATAAAAAAAAGGAAATGTAGACATCAATCTCATGATAATCGACTGATTTTTGTTTAAGATCTATCTTTCTGGCTAGTCATAACAAAAGTGTTTAATACCCACGTAATAGTATTATAATATTATTTATATTTCATTCATCGCAATCAAAATATAAGAATTAAAATATAAAAGGTTCAACAGTATTTATAAACAATTATGAAATAATAAGATTTGTCACATCAAAAATAAAAACATAATAAACATTGAAATCATGAAATATAAACAATTAAATACGATGCTAAGCATCCGTAAAAAACAATTAATTAGACATTTAAGGTCTTAACGAGCTAAAATAGAAAGTGGTGCAAATACATGAACACAATTTAAAAAGATGCAAATGATGACCAATAATTAACTAAAAATCTAATACAATTAGCAAGAATAATACCCATAACTGAGAAGAGTATATTTATCCTATAATAAAACACAATTATTTACATTGAGGCGACAAACGTGATATTTCTACGAATTTGGCGATAAACTATTGATCCACCACAAATTAGAAATAAGATAAAATAATTATGAAATTAGATGCAATTAAATCAATATATTATTATTATTATTTGTGCATCATAAATCTAGCAACACAAATCTTGAAAAAATTTGACGAATCACACAAAGAGGATTCAAAAGATCGTGTTGTCAGTCAAAAGGCCGAACCATATAGTCACTTCACTCGGTTAGCCCACGAGCCGAACGAACGAAAAGAAATTTAAACCAACAAACACTGTGCACGACAGAATCGGCAATGTCCACATAAAATTGACTCCTCAACCCGATTTTAGATCACTCACAGAAAAGGTCAACAGTTGCTCTAACCCTTGATAGGGACTATTTCCCATAACGAAGTTTGACCGTTAAATTACGTTGATACGCTCTCCACATGACAAAATAAATCTTCACAAAAGGATAATGTCTCTATTCAAAGTCTACCTAGAAAAAGTCGATTGAATACCTATCGACCGACCAAACGAATATCGGTCGACTGAATGGTGACCAACTGACCAAAGTGAGCGGTTACAAATATGAAGCATCAGGAACAACAATTACAAATGTAAATAGGCGCCAACAATGGTTAATATGGCCAAAAGATCTAAAAGGCGGTTACAAATATATAAAGATGTACATGTAATGGCTCATAAATGATTAATAATGTCCCTACTTAATCAGGGACAGAGATGTACTTTACAAAACACCCGCTATGATATGAAAATATGGGAGTTATTCTTTCAAGAAAGACTACTGAATATATTCTAAGAGAATTAATACTATTTGTCCCTTACTCTCTTACTCTCATTCTTTTATTTTTACTCATTCTTCTCATCCGACCAACACTCCATCCTTTAGGCGTGGCCCGAAGGATATTTTGAGATTCAATGTTATTATTATTATTATTATTATTAAATCTTAAACGAGATTCAATGTTATTATTATTATTATTATTATTATTAAATCTTAAACGATGAGAAGTTATGAGCATCAACCTAACAAACTTAATTAAAATAATATCTTATTTTTGTTTTAATTTTGATAGGAAATAAAAAAATTAATATTTGTAAATACAATTTTGAAGGATTTAGATGCATAACACCCATCCATAATAAACAATACAATCATATATTTTCAAAACCAACAGGTTCATAAATCTCATTTTTTCTCTAGTTGCCATAAATCTCGGATTAGGAGATTCAGTTAAACGATGAATTTATGGGATTCAGAGAGGTTGATATGCATGAAGTAGGAAGACGATGGTTACCGTCGTCAACGGTGGGTAGGAGCGATGAAAGGAGGAAGATGTAGGTTTTATCTGCACGCCACGATCCCATCGTTGCCTACTCTCTGACCACGACGACAGAACAAAGGTTTCGTGTACAAAGCGGATGGTTTTGGGCGAAGTGAGGTGAAAATATTGCATCAGGACTTCACACGTAATTTTATGTGCGGAGTCAAATGAAATCAAGCCACCTGACGGTGACATAAAAATAAAATAAAATACGTCCAATAACACAAGAGAATATTTCTCTCGTGTTATTCAGGTGTTATTGTGTGTTATTTAGGTGTTATTGTGTGTTATTCAAGTGTTAATGATGTGTTATTGTGTTCTTATAACACAAAAAATATTCTCAGAACACAATAACACAGAATAACACAAATAGAATATTCTCCTGTGTTACCGGTCCGATTTTTTTTCCGTCACCTCCATGTGGCGTGATTTTATTGAACTCCGCATGTAACTCTACGTGTGGAGTCCTGATGCAATATTTTTTAGGGAGAGAAAGGGAAGAGGTGATGTCTGACTAGGGCTGTCAAAATGGCTCGTTGT